GTAACAGTATTTGTCTAAAATTTATCGGACTTGGAAGTGTATTTGCTTTACCACTATTATAAATAAAATTGCTTATCTTACAAAATAAGCACAAAACTTTCAGAAAATTTGATATTTATATTAAAGTTTAAAATGTTAGATTCAATATTTTATTTTTAATCAAAGAACTTCAAAATAATTTTGTTTTCAATTAAAATTATACAAAAATTTGGCATGAAACCAAGCCACTGCATTAAAAAATTTGGTTTAGAATTAACTTTCTCAGAATCATTAATAATATAATTTTGATATAAGTTCAGATTCAAACTGAAAGTAACTCAAAAGATGTTACAAGTTTATAGTAATGTTTTGATAATGAGTCAAATGACATCTAGCTAAATTCCCAGTGCTGGGCAAAAGAAGGAGAATGACTTTGACAATCATCAAGATCTATTTCAGTATCATAAAGTCTTCTAGAGTGGTCTCAGAACTGTTCATCTTGCACAGACACAGATCTGCTCCAATGCTAACCCTTTCTCTGATAACAAAATACTGAAGAGGCAATGGAAACAAACTGAAAATCAGAAGGTTCCATTTGAACATCAGTAACGATTTTTTCCTGACAGGATGAACAAATACTGGCATAGGTTGCTCAAAGATACTGTGCAGTCTCCATTCTTGGGAATAACCAGAAGGCTGGACATGAGACTGGTTGAGGACTATGTAGAGCAGATGGTCAGACAGGGTGACCTCCAGAGGCTCCTTCCATTCTTAACCACTCTGAGATTCTGTGATTCTTTGAATATAAGGCTAATTTCTAAATAAATCGCTGAGCCATTACATTATTAATGAACAAAATGGATACATTTGACTTGAGAAAGTGATGGCCTCCGTATATCTTCATACAAACATTACCTCAGCATCTTCCATACCATGAAACTTATTTTCAAAAAGTAAAAGAAACAATAAAAGAGCTATGAAACAAATCTAATACAGTACTGTTTATCAGAGCACAACACTGGTTATTACTGTAACTCTTACATTTTGTTATGTCTTTCAATGTAGTAAGTTATATTTTTTCTGTGTTTGGTTACAGGCCAACTAATACTGGTGAAATTTTCCAGAGGATTTAGTTTAGATAAGATTATGGTGAAATTTGCTTGAGAAAGTAGCTGAACATTTTCCTCTTTCCACCACTCAGAACAGAACTTACAGTTTCTAACTACATTTAGTATATTTTCAATTTGATATAGCATTCGTTTATAATACAGGAAAATAACTATTTTTACTTCAATAAAATAATAGCATAATGTTAAATATTTAGATCATATGCTTCCCCATTAGAGTTATACTGTATTTCATTATTTTAATTTTACTTTTTTTTTTTCTGAACTCAAGTCATGATCTAAATACAATAAATTCTTGTTGTAGGGTAACATGCAATGCAGACTCATCTATACTTCCCTTAGAGTCTTCAGTTGACAACAGAAAGAAAGCCTTGCAAAGAGTAAGTAACACCGTTTGTGAAGTAGATTCCAAATACGCGCACAAAACTTCTCCACTCAATTGTACAACCATGTAACTCCAATAGTTTTAGTAAGTCTATTCAGACTCACGTTTCATTTTACAATTCTGACTTATCTCACATAATCTCTCCACTGTGAAGTTTGAAAAAAAAAGCAACAGGAAGAGGTATTCTCGGTAATGTTCAAAGTTAACCAAAGGTACTGCTTTATATAATGCCTTTAACAGCAGCTTCCTCTTGGAAACAGTTTGAGTTGGTCCTTCCTTTCTTTGCCTGAGAAAGATGGATTCTGAATGTCATTTCTAGATAATTCAAGATCATTTTCTGATGAGTGATGTATCCGTACTCATGGCATCAGCATTATTTTTAGCTTAAAACATTTCGCTCATTTTTCCTAGTCTTTCCATCTTAACGTCTCTCCAACAAAATTCACATAATCAGTCATATTCCCTCTCAACTTAGTTCTCCCCAGAAAAAAAGAAAACTTCAATTAGTCTTTTCATGCAGAAGCTTTTGCCTCTTTGCTCTACCAGTCTTTTCCTGAATCCATTCTAACCTGAGATGACCTCGCAGTCACTACGGAGCCAATACTAAGACAGTAAGTTTCAAATCAGCCCTCGGTTCAATTGCATTAATACTTTTCTTTTACAGTGTGAAATATTTTACCTAATACGCTTCCAAATTATACTTGTCTTATTTAAACTTACTTCCCACTGGTTGCCTACTATCATAACATGTATCTTCCCTCTTTACTACTGTTAACTAAAAGGCCAGACAGAGCATAATTTTTTAACTGCTACTACCATACTCCTACTTGTGCTCAATTAACAAAAATTGATCCCAAAACACATTCTCAATGAGCTACTTCTACTAGCCTCTTTCCATCATGTCAATGTCTACCCTAAGTGATATTTTTTTCCTCTCACTCTTTTCATCTTATATCTTAACTGTAGTAATTGAAGTGTGGCCATTTCAGAAGATAGCTACTACAGGGATAGCTAGTTTGTTGTTGATTAGACAGTGAGCACCCCACAGTCAAGTCTGCAAATTACACCAAACTGTGTGGTGCAGTCAACACACTGGAGAGATTCTTTATGTTTGGGGCACTGGAACAGATTTCCCAGAGCTGTAAATGCCCCATCCCTGGAAGTGCTCAAGGCCAGGTTGGATGGGGCCACAGGCAACCTGATTTAGTGGGAAGTGCCCCTACCTGTAGCAGAAGGTTTGGAACTGTATGATCTTTAAGGTGCCTTCCAACTCCAATTCTTATATGATTGTACAGATTTCATAGTTCCATACTCACATATTATTAAATCCCGTATCAAAAAGTGATGTCAAGTTATTCTCTGTAAAGATAATCTTGGTAAACCCTTGTAATACTTTTAAGTTAGCTATTCAAATTATTAGTTTTTCCTCCAAAATAAGATTTAAAGACTTTTCTGTTATTATGTTTACTCTAATGGTTTTGTAATTGCCTGCTCATTTTTCCCTCCTTCCTTAAGTATAGCAGTTCATAAGATTATGACAGCTAATATAATAGAAATAAAAATTATTTCAATTATAGAAAAATATAACATAGCAACTATATTTTTCTGATTCACATTTGAAAGTAACAGCTAACTATACATTGCTCTGTTGCAGTACAGAACAGTATACAAACCTAGAGCCATTTAAACTGGTATTTTGCATTGTGGCTACTGCTTTAACAGCTGAAGCTCTAACAGCACAAACTAATACACCAACTTTCATACTTAATATCATTAATTATTTCCAATCAGACAGAATTTTTCAGTTGTTTGTTTATACTTCCATCTTTGTATGGGTTCCTTTTTTTCAGATTCTATTTATGAATATTCAATGATTTTTATAGATAATATTATCAACTACTTCTTGATAAACAAAATCAGTACCCTAACCAAAAAAGTGTTGGAGTGTAACTTTGTCGATATGTATATATAAATACTTTTTAGATGCAAAGTACTATGTAAATAATCATATTTGGAAAATGACTTAAGAAATCAAAAGCTAAAAGGAACATATTCAGATAAAGCAAGACTCATTTGATGTCAGATTGTAACTAAATAGTCCTCAGTACTTGTGTATTCTTCTAAATTGAGTGAACACAGAAACATTAATGATCAGACACCTGCTTGTCCTCGATGAGAAAGCTCATTATAGGCTCAGCGATGAGTGCCTGCATGCTATGCAATGCACAGAATGGGAGGATTCACAAATACAGAACCTCTTCTTTAGACTTGTAGCAAGAACTCTTGGAATAAAGAATCTCCGCTGCTTTTGCTTTTTTTTTTTTTTTTTTTTTTTTTTTTTTTTTTTTTTAACATTTTTCTATGAAGAGACATCTGTAGAAAAGGTCTACTGCCTACAAATTAGAAAAAAACAAAACCAAAACCAAACTGATTTTCCTGTATATCAGGATCATTGCTGCTCATTTTTGTTTGACCTAAGTGAAGTGCAGCCAATACTTCTTGCTTGAGAATAATGCTTGGGGTGCAAAACCAGAACTTGAAATGATTACAACCTCTCTTTTTAAGCCCATCCCAATATTTTCAATATTCTTAAGCAGCTGTTTCTGTTTCCAGACCCAGAGAATGCCTTTTTCCTTTTCTGTCTTTAATGATTTTCTTACTGATTTGATTAATCCTCACCACCTCCTTCTTCTAGTCACAAAGCTTCCTCTCTTCCTTTCTCTCTTGCCCTTTTATAGCAGGTACACAACTCTCCCCAGACAAGTATGATGCCTGGGCTCTCCTGGTTACAAGTAGATCCTCTAGCAAGTGATAGATGGACAATGCAAAGAAATTAATATTGAGAAAAACGCTTTTTGACATGTGGTATATTTCCAACCTCAGGATAGATATACTGGCTGAACTAAGATGTATTTTTACATTTAATTCTAATATATTGAAAGCTAATTTTATTCTGGAATAGTAGTAACTGAAATAATGCATTTTCAGTTCCTAAAAAAAAAGGACAGAAAGTTATTTTAGAAAATGGTACTCCTACAACTATTTTTAAAGGGAATAAAAGATAACATTTGGTTTTCGGGTTTTGTGCAATACCTTATTTAACCTTTGTACACTAGTTTTATTTGCTCTAATGCTAGTTAGAAGTTCTTATCTGAGATAGAGTTTGTAGAAAAGTTCCTCATTCTCTTTTCTTTATTCCCCCATTAGATCTTTAGTTTAAATGACTCCTAATGTGTTGTAAATGCTAGAGCAACAGCCAAAAGAATCAGTAGCTCTGGGCCTTCATCCTGCTCTCCTTGAAGATAACAGCATTACTCTTGTTCATAACTTTGAAGAGAAAACAGGTCTCATGGAGAACAAGCTAAGTACTGTTACATCCATAGGAATTCTGCAGCCGACCTCAATGAGAGCAGAATTTGACCACAAGGAATATATACTGATTAGGGTTAAAGTCAGTGACATTAACCAGAAAACTGGTGAACCTGAAAAGATCTTTATAAGCTACATACCTGAGGCAGTGCAGAGTTAAGCTGTCGCTGAAGGGAGTCTCTGTCATATATGACATCCTGTAGGCGTTGCTGTGCAAGTGACAAGCTTTCCTGTGTCTCCCGGAGAGTATCAAGGAGACGGTCCCTTTCATCCAGCATATTCACCATCAGCTGCTCAAAGTGAGAATCCGAGTCCGAGCCACTGCTCTGGGACCCCCGTTGACTCATCGGGGTGTCCTCATTTATCGTAGGCATCACTTCGCACATCATCTCTTTAAAAAATACAAATCAAGAAAAAGGTTTTCAGTAGGAAAAAAAAAGAGGAGATTTCATAAGAGGAATTAATTCTGTCACATGGACACAGTTATAGACTATATCATTGTCCCCTCATCTCAACTTTGTACTTTCAATATTAATCAGACGGTCAATACACAGCGATTAAATACCGCGAGTAATTCCCCACAACAAAGATATTGAATGTGTTTCCTAAAGTGAGGGAAGAGGGACTGGAAGGAGATGGAGGATAACACAGTATTTTAAATTATTAATAGCTTTGCAAAAAAAAAAAACAAAAAACTATTTTAAAATGACAGAAAAGACTTCTTCTGCAATTGCAGTCTCCTTCTCTTACTTAATGCCATTGCTGAATTGTTGGTATTGATGCCAATGGCTGTTAGTAATTGCTGGATTTTGTCCTGCTCTAGGCATTTCTACAGTACAGCTCAGGCTAACCATTGATCCAGTATCATGATGCTTTAACAATGCTAGGTTAATCTATTTTTTCTATCTAGTTATTCCCACCCTCGGGGAAAAATATTCTCTATTGAGCTTGTTCAGCAAGAGGTCAAGAACTAGAAACCTTCTGCTAATTATCATCTGCATGATATCTCGCGCAAATTGAGTTAGTAGGGAGAGAATCACTGTTGTTTGTTTCCTAAAAACTGTTCAAATCCATGCAAATAGTATCACTTTGTCCCATTCATCAATTATCAAAACTTCAGTTTGTATATAGTGAGGAGCTTATGCTATGAAGATGCACTCAGTAGATAGGGGAAAAAAAAATAAAAAAATCCCCAAAATGGCTTTCAAAGCTCAGATTTAAAAAAAAATAAATATTCAGATAAAAGATTGTGTTAGCAATAGATGGTATCTACTGGATAAACAGAAAGGCACCCAAAGAATCAGAAGTTGTTTTTCTAGTATGACTAAGTACAGCAGACAATTTTCACATAGTTGAGCATTAATTTCTGAAAATTATTTTTTGAAAATTATTATTTGAAAGCCTTTTTGTCTCAGAAAGTGGGACAGAGGTGCTTCTCACCCATCTAGTGGAAGTTAAAACCTTTTACTTAAGTGTTTGCTGTGGACCTTATAGACCTCAACTTTGTCTAAAATGCATGTTGTTGATGCACTTCCTTTGTTAGATGTGCCATCATATGAGAGCATCACAATTTTACACTCTCGGTACTATGACTGAATTGTTCTACATATTCTTAAATCTGGCCTGCTTTTTAAAGTAAGAAAATGGAATTTTTGACAGTGAAATCCATGAAAAGTAGTTACGGAATGTAACATAAAAACCTCCCATACACAGGAAATAAAAGGGCTAAGACACTACTTAGTTCATTAAAGGCAACTGTAACTCTTCCTACTTTTCCCATCATCACTAAACCAAAAGCAATTCTTGTGCTAACATTGCCATGATTTACTGGTAAAATAACAGCTTTTTTGGTCCCAACCACATTCAAAATGCTCATGTAAAATTTAACAGTATTTTCATTTCTTCAGCAGATATGATAACTAGCAAAATTAGCACCAAACATTGGTATTTCAGCATGAATTATCAGCTACTACCGCATAGCTTTCATAAGCAATATCTTCCCTGCTGATCAGTCTTGATCCTCTGTCTGGAATGGTGGCAAGGTGAAAGTTATTTGTGGCTATTATTCACTTTTCACGTTAGCAATTAATTAGGTGCAAGAGAAGCAGATATTATCTTAAAAGTATAGATGCTGAAGCTCTTCACATCTCCAGGTAAGTTTACTTTGGATTACCTGATTCAATGCTCTTTTACTTCATTACTCATGAAGTTCAAAATTTTCTACCCCAGAAGTCTTTGCCTCTTTTAAACTACAGATTCCATTAGGAAGCACGTCTTTTCATACAGAGATGACATTAACATATCAGTGCCTCCATCATGATAAACAACTATACGTTTAAAAACATTTGCACCACTACAAACTGATCTTCAGGTTATATGCCACTCTCTTTTGAATACAGGTAGTGTGTAATGGGAGGTACCACAGAGGTGGATACTGAATTCTGGAGCTTCACCAGCAGAATAAACTTCAACTTGCCTGCAGAAAAACAAAAGATTTTGGGAGTTCTTCCTGATGTAACTGCTTTGTCCACTGTCCACACAAATTTTGAGAAGTGGTACTACCAGCAGTACTTTGCCTGCATGATCCCTGTGCAGTGCTGTAGGGAGCATATTTCACACCTAGAGTATCACCACCATCTGAAGTGCCTTCTCTCAGGTCCCACTTGGACTAACTACTTTGGGATGGTCAAGTTGACAGTGCACAAGGAGAAAACTAAAACATCCAACACCGTCTGCCCCTTTCTGTTAGATCGTAGTTTTTCAGTATGTACCATGTGTTCAGAGACTAAGGTCTCTGCATGCTTATTCTTCAAATGTAGATCAAGGACTGTAACTCAGATCATAACTCTGTTTTTTCTACCAGAAGGTGGCCCATCACATACCGTGGAACATGTTTGCTGCCCCAGAGGATTTTCATAGATAAGCCCTTACATCCAATGTCCTTTATATGCAGATGAAAATTGTGGTCTGAATGGCAAAGTATGCACTACCACTGCCATTATGCAATGATGAACACAGTCCAATTTTCACTCTTGCTGGAGTGTTGAGGTGAACAGCTAAGAAAACCTCTGCGCAGACAGTTGTTGCTACCTTAGTACCTTTTTCAAAATAAAATCTTTTACAGTCATGTTGGGGATGTGGGAATCAACATATACACCTCCCTGTAAGCTGCTGTCTTTAGGGAGGGGAGCAGACAATGCAGTGTGCCTATTTTGAAAACCTGCGCTGCACTTCCCTGAGTGGCACAAGTAACTTACTTGGACTATGAGTAAGACCACAGATAAGGCAGGGAGCAGGTGGGCAGATCTTGATGTAGGCAGTCACTATTTGGAAGTTTTCTCCCACAGCTCAAAGTCCCAGGAGAATATTTAAAAGGTACAGCAGTTCTTGCATTCAGACTGGTAATGTACATTGCATTCTCACTGTTCGGAGATCAATGCCATTATTCCCCCAGAACTATATGCATCCTCTCCCTTTTCCTGTGCTCAGCTTAGAGGAAAATATAGAAAAGCAGGAGGCTAACCTTGGCCAGATCAGGAGTGCCATCAGGGTTAGAAAGACAGAATGTATTGATCTTGCAGTGGTGAAGAGGAAGGAAAAGGGGAGCCCTGCACATCTTTTGCAGGAGCCAGCTGAAACAACTCTGAAGGGAATGTCCTTTGTTAGGGTGTTCTACATCAATCAAGAAAGTGGTAAAAAAAATTTCAAATAACTTCAGGTTTATCGTAGGGCTCCCAAAGATTTTCTGCATCTTTTCATTAAAGATATGCAGTGCTGTCTTGAATTACAATGATTTTTATCTTTTTGTCTTTAGAAAAGCATTGTTTTCTTTTCTTTTCTTTAAAACAAACAAATGAATAAAACAACAACCCTTTATCTGGCATTTATCATTCTTACACCTGCCAGTAAATGGGATGCTTTCAGTGTTCTGAGGCTGCTACCATTTAACACTGTCCCCAAAAACCTCTGGTCTTCTTCCAGCACATGTTCAAGAACACAGCCATGCTCAAGACCCAGGACCTCACTGCACTCTTTATTTAGATAGAAGAAAGAAATCAAAATAATAAGAATATTTGAAAGATTTTAAGAGAATGGAGGAAAAAGGGGAAAAAAAGGAAAAAATATACAACAAAATATAGGGCAGGTAAAGCAGAGAAAGAACATTAAACTGACAAAAGTAAATAGAGAAGGAAGTTTCAGCAAACAGACTGATCACAATTTAGTAGTAGAAGATTGACAGCTAAGGACGCACTGGAGGACACATATGCGCCTGGTTCTTTATATAGCAAGTGAATCACGTCAGGGAGTTGTATGAGTTTGTGAAGTTTCTAGCATCTTTGGATGGTGCCCATGTATTAGTCAACCCTCAGTTAACCACATGATGATGTGGTTCACACATGGGGTCAGAACATTAATTTTAAGAGCAAGCTTCCAGTTTAATTATAGCTGAAAGGAATCTAGTTTGCACACACCAAAAGCACATAGAGAAACCACCACAATGCAGATAGAAACAGTTGAGGAATTCACATTAAAACAAAAATAGTATTGCTATGAACAGTTAGGTCTGATAGTTTATGTGGTCACACCCTCAGTAATTTAAATCATATTTATAAATTTCCAACTGGGGAAGATTTTTTGAAACTTCTTATTTCCCTGCTAAGTAACTGAATTTTAAACCTCATTCTGGTAATTAAAAAACCCCAAACCTGAACAATTTTCCTTTCCAATTTCATAATATAATAGAAATATTTTACAGACTGAAGACAAAAGGCATCACTGTAACTACCTGTTCTTTATGCACTAATCACAGACAGTAAATCTGAGATAAACATAGAATCATTATGAATGGAAAGACCACTATGATCAACTACTCCAACCATCAACCCATGCCTATGATTGCTCTAGACCATGTATGTTACTGAGTGTGATATCTGCCATTTTTTTACAAACCGCCTTGATTGGTGACTCCATCACTTTCCTGGGCAACCTGTTTCACTACCTCACCATGTTCTGAGAATAATGTTTTGCTAATATCCAATTCAAGCCTCCCCAGGTGCAACTTAAGTTCATTACCTCTCATCCTATCTCTAGTTACCTGTGAAAAAGGGTCAACATATACCTCATTACAATCTCATGTAGTTGTAGAGAGAGTAACATTTCCCCTGAGCTGCCTCTTCTCCAGACTAAACAATTGCATCTCCCTCAGCTACTCCTCATAAGACTTGTGCTCCATACTCTTCACCAGCTTTGTTGCCCTTCTTTGGACACACTCCAGAGCCTCAATATGTTTCTTGTAGTGAGGAGCCCAAAATGAATACCATACTTAAGGTGCAGCCTCACCAGTGCTCAGTAAAAAGGGATGATCCCCTCCCTACTCCTGCTGGCTGCACT